ACTCACCGTAACTACTCGTACCGTACCTACTACATATATATATATATATATATATATATATATATATATATATGCGTGCGTGCGTGCGTGCGTGCGTGCGTGTGCGTGTGTGCGTCCGTCCGTGCGTGCGTGCGTGCGTGCGTGCGTGTACGTGTGTGTGCGTGTGCGTGTTCGTGTACGTGTGCACGTGTGCGTGCGCGTGCGCGTGTGCGTGTGCGTGTGCGTGTGCTCGCGTGCGTGCGTGCGTGCGTGCGCGCGCGCGTGCGGGTATGTGTGTGTGTGGTGTGTGTTTGGTGTGTGTGCGTTAGTGCATAATATTGCACAGCAATAGAAGATGCCCAACTGTCAACTAGCTGTCAACATGTTGTTGGCACACTGTGATGTCCAACTTGACCCTATCTAACCCTACTGTTTTACACAACGGTGTAACCATCATTTATATCTCCTTGCGTTTTGCAGAAGAAGGGATTTGAATTGATGATGGACGTAGCGAGCTCTAAGAGCAAACATGATCAGGGTCTTGTGGCGGTAGCAGAGTACAACATCGGACGTGCATACTTCCAGGGATACGGGGTCAAACAGTCCGATTTCGATGCTGAGAGGTAAGTCCATCCAACAACTGTACTGTAGCAATGCTATAGTAACATGTAGCTCTAGCGCAAATACATAGAAATATAAATGGAAATGTGATCTACGCAATATTAAGTAAGAATAATACTGAGCATGGAGCAACCGTTCCTACTATGCAGTGCCATCGGCTAGATGTCTTGCTCTGTTCGGTAGAGTTGTGTTCTTTTTGTGTGGTGACCTAAAATGTATATATACGAAGAAAAAACACGCTGTAAAAAGTGTAACGCCTGTGTGTAAACTTGTGTATGTTACCCAGCTCGAAGGGCCCGTTTTTCGTGTGGTTTGCGAAACGTTTTCACACACACATAAATGTGGAAAATGTCTGAGACATCAAAATGTTTTGTGCATTGAAATTGAGAATGCATTGATTTCATGTCGATAACATTGCAACTTCATAAACTTATTCCTGTTGTTTTACCGTAAATTTGAGCTTAGTATCGTCTCCACTTGAAAAAAATGAGTTCTATCTGTAAATCTGTAACCATTTCATACATGCTGTTGTTTATACACCTTATAGCTTATTTACCTTATACATTATGTCTTTTGGCAGGTGGTGGCTGCGTGCGGCAAACGATGACAACCGGTCACCTAGCATCAAGGCCCAGACAGCACTCGGCATGTATTACTCCCGACCAGAAACATTCAACATGAAGAAGGCATTCCACTGGCACAGTCTCGCCACCAAAGCTGGTAGCTTGGAGTCACAAGGTAAGCTGGCAGGCTAGCATCGCAAGGTAAGCTGGCATGCTAGTATTACAAGCTAACCCGACAGGCTAGCATCACAAGCTAACCCGGCATGCTAGAATTACAACGTAAGCTGGCATGCTAGCATCACTACGTAAGCTGGCAGGCTAGCATCGCAAGCTAACCCGGCATGCTAGAATTACAACGTAAGCTGACATGCTAGAATTACAAAGTAAGCTGGCATGCTAGCATCACAAGGTATGCTGGCAGGCTAGCATCACAAGGTAAGCTGGCATGCTAGCATCACAAGGTAAGCTGGTGGGCTAGCATTACAAGGTAAGCTGGTGGGCTAGCATCACAAGGTAAGCTGGCAGGCTAACATCACAAGGTAAGCTGGCAGGCTAGCATCACAATGTAATCATGATCAGGCAGGCAGGCCGTTTAGTAGTATTTGCTAGTAGGGACCGCTGCATGGTAGTCCTAATTTAAGTAATTTTGCCAATAATACTAAGATATTTTCCCGCAAGATAGACATATTTAGTTGGAAGGGTCAAAAGTGTAGGTTGCTATTCATTATAGCAGTGAAAACGCCTCAATCCTAAACACACACGTTCGCCAGTTTCTCTTGTTCTGACTAGGGCGCCCATACGTCGTAATTACGAATGCTGACATCACATTATAATACTTGCCAACCCTTGCAATTTGTGCAGTAACGTGCGGATTTTAAAAGCTGCCCACATCCTTGTCAATTTTACTTGCTTTGTCTATAAAACCTATTTTACTGGCCATGCAGTTTATGTGAAATATATGTATGATGCGTAGTTGTATGGTATTTGCACCCCCCCCCCTCCCAGATAAGATGCATATCACATTTTCGTGCTTGTTACTATCTCCTCTAACGTACCACTTTAAGTTCATTTAAAAAAAAGGTTTAACATGTACGACATAATATAATTGCATGTCTGTCTGTGTAGGAGCGCTGGGCGTGATGCATCTATATGGCATGGGCTGCAGTCAAGACAGACAGATGGCGCTGACATACCTACGCACTGCCGCTGACCGAGGCAATGTGTACGCCACGGGTCAGCTAGCCAGCTACTATTACAATAACAAGCTGTTCACAAAAGCGGCAGAGATGGCAGAGAGGTGAGCGATGACGTGTGACACACACCCCAGCGCCTCCTAACGGCTCCGTATACTATCACGTCACGTCAATATACAGCTCACGTCACTACATGCTATCATTATCACGTGCTTTCTCAGTGTTTAATGTCCCAGATGTTTAACGTCACGTATACGTAGTAGCTTTATAAAATAATTGGGACATGAAAAAATCTTTCTTAAGCTTTCGGCTGTGCATTTTTTCACATGATATGTCAGGGCTTGTAATAGAAAATTGATATTTCCCATAAACGCAAGAATTTTCTCACATGTGTTCCACCGAATGTCATGTTGACTTTTCCTATCTATTTTAGAGCGTTACCTATTTCCTTTATTTTAGAGCAGCGCATGTGGACAACGTGGACGAGGTGGCCCGCTCTACCGACTGTCTACGAGACTTCGTCAGTAAGGGCGTCTCGCTCGGCTGCTTCTACTTCGCGCGTTGCCTTCAGCTGGGCAGCGGCATAGACCAGAACCGAGAGAAAGCCGCGACGTACTACTCACTGGTAAACTCGCCCTGCCATCTACTGGCTGCCAAACAAATTACGCAGTGGCTACGCGTCCGGTCATCCATTACAAAGCTGATAGGCTTGATAAGCTAATATAGTCACGATTAGGCCACGCCCGCTTTCAAATAGTTGATTTTACTGTATTTACAATTGCTTCAAACGTTACAAAAACACATTTTTTTAAATAAAATACCTAAAAGGCAAGTAATATTATGGTAACTTAAAAAACTTATTGTTTATTGTTTTTTACTGAAAAAATATAGTTGGGTTCACATAAGAAATATATGACCGGACGCGTAGCCACGGCCAACAAATTAATGCGGTCCCATTTTATACTAGGAAAAAGTGTACAGTTTTCCTACTCTGTTCGGAACCTAATTTACATCGTACGTAAAACATTAAGTCTTTCAAGAATGTATATGTACTGTATATGATATCAGAATTGATTGGTCAGTATGGTGCTGTAATGATGTGTGATGATGATATCCATGTTTTGTCAACATCTCCAGGCATGCAAGCATGATAAGGATCTCTCAGCTCTACTTCAGCAGGAAGTGACACTAGGCCACATTTAGTCTTCACCAATGTCTAAGTGTTACATCTAAGCATTCCAAAATACCTGGCCATACCTGCCGTGTCTCACGAACACCTGGTCACAGTTACAATCTAAGAGCTTCAACAACACATGGCCCTTTATATGTGAATGCTCAATGTGTTTGTTAATGATTAGGAGCAATAATGCATTTGTTTGCAAAAGCCGCATAGAGACATCACTGCTCCATTTATCATGTTTTGCTATGATTACTATATGTAGATAAACGTGTAGATGAACATGTAGCAATGCCATAAAATACTATTTTAGTATGAATTAATTCAGATATAGCTGATTTCTATTAATTAAATTACCTAATTATTATCTATGTCTATATGCGTATGTGTGCGCGTACGTGCGTGTGTCTCTGTGTGTTTGTTAATGTGTATTCTGTACTGGTCACTAGATCGTTGTACATCTGAGGTGACATCACCTGATATATGCACCAGTATTTAGTTTGTGCATTATTGTGCAACGACTTGCGAAATTCAAACCAAAGATATTCTCTAGTCACTCGATCATTGAATGTTTTAAATGATTATTTGTAATTCTATAATCCCCGTAGCAAAAAATGCAATAAGAAGTATGCTTGCTAATTATATGGAAATAATCTTTGTTGATTACATAACTTATTTGTATATATTATATGATCTATGGTCGCTTGAAAGTAATATGTACTAGATTTGGAGATTTCAAATGAGAAATGGAATTCACAAATTAAAGGCACGTAAACCTGGATAATTTTCTTTTTTTCCTCCACGATGGCTAAACGAGCTTTTATATCAGTGCGAAATGGATGTTCGTTCGCATGTGTATATTTTTGCATGCGCGTGTCTAGGTCCCACCCTTTCCCCATTCTTCCTCTCTCTCCTTTATTCACCTCTCCCCTCGCTTCCCATTCCCCTCTTTCTCTCTCTCTCTCTTTCTCTTTTCTTTCTCTCTCTCTCTGACTCCCTTCCTCTCTCCCGCGCGCTCTCTCCTCCTGCCTTTCGCTCTATATATATCTCTCTCTTTCTCTCTCTCTCTATCTCTCTCCTTCTCTGTCTCTTTCTCTATCGCTGTGTCTCGCTCGCTCTGTGTGTCTATATGTGTGTATGTCTCTCTTTGCGCGCGTCTCTCGCTCTCTATCTGCCTCGCTCTCTTTGCGTGTGTCTCTCTCTCTCTCTCTCTGTATCTGTGTGTGTGTGTGTGTGTGTGTGTGTGTGTGTCTCTCTTCCGCTCTAGCTTGATTTACACTATCAACTTTTAAATGAAAAGTCGACGAGTTGATCAGCAACTCGTTCTGTGAACTTTTCCATAAGATGTTCAGCGTATTTATATTATCGACTGCGAGGACAAAACGCTTCAACATTTAACTCGTAGCGTGCGCGCGAGACGATGTGGATACGCATTTTTTCATGTATTAATTTTATTTCTATTATTAATTAATTACTATTAATTTAATTTCTATTATTCGCGCCAGGTGCAGCACGTGTGCCACCGATTGCAAAAACGCGCGCGGAAATAATCTCCCCCTGAGGGAAGAGACACACCTCCTGATTGCTATTATCTCAGTGGCTGCATGGCAGAGAGTTGATAAACGCGCTGACCTAAAGTTGAGAAAGCAGAAAGTCTCTCTCTCTCTCTTTCTCTCTCTCTCTCTCTCTCTCTCTCTCTCTCTCGCTCTCTATCTCTCTCTATCTGTCTCTGTGTCTTTTCCTCCCTCTGTGTGTGTGTATCTCTCACTCTGTGCCTCTCTCCCTCTCTATCTATCTATATCTCTATGCCGCCTCCGTTATTATCTTTCTCTCCTCTCCTCTCTCTGCTTCCCCACGTCTCTCTCTTTCTCTCGCTCTGACTGTTTATTCTGTAATTTTCTTGAGTTTTTGTGTTACTGTCTAAGCTTCTCTCTCTCTCTCGCTATTTTCCCCTCCACTCCCTCTCTCCCCACAGCCTCCTTCTCACTTTGTATTTCTGTCTTTCTCTCTCACATACACACATGCAGGCACGAACACTAACGTGCGCGTGCGTAACGTGCGTAACGTGCGTAACGTGCGCGTGCGTAATAGACACACACGTGCGCGTGCTCCTCTTTCTGTTCCTCCTCCTCTCTTTCTCTGCATTGCGTACTTAGGCACCGAAGCTTTCCGTTCGTATGTAATAAACGCTTATGTGGACGCATACTGTGGTTTGAATTATTTGGCGAGCGTCTGCGCTGTGACAACTAGCTGTTTTTATCACGGTCTAGCTAGTTTTTTTTTACTTGGCGACTAAGTAGTCACTGCCTGTTGCTAATTAACATATACCCTATTATGTAGTAAACATCGCGCGTGCGTTGTTGAATCATACATAGAGATGATATTTACTCCAGTTTGAATGGTAATGAATAAAAAAGTATGTATTGAATGGACAGAGTGGCGAGCCATCGTCTTTCATAGCAAGCCGTCAGTGGTCCTACTGTCGCTGCCTATTACCGTAGGGGGTTGGGGACAGGGCGGGTTGGGGACAGCCGCCGAAGGGGGTTGGGGACAGCGGCTAAGCCCCACCCAAACTGGGAACTGATCTTAGCGACATCTAACGAGAGAAAACGTTAACTATAGTGGATTCTGTGCATTTAAACTTTTGTTCAAATACATATGGCAAATAGCCACAAGGGATGAAGGAGTCTAAAGGGAATAATTTAATTGCACCAAATCATCGAATGAAAGTTGTTAGACCCTATTCAGTACCACAAATGTACTAAACTTAAATTAGATGGTATCATTTAATTAAGTTGCGAAACTATGTCATTATGTGTTGTTAAATCGTTCCCGCGCAGATGTGGCGCATAGGGCGGTCGGTGCCTATCTCGGTTTCCTTAACCCGGTTATGTCATTATACATTAGCTTAATTCTGTCAAATATATTTCAGTAGCATTCGTTTCCAGTGTTTAATGAAAATAAAATCAATAAAATGGTTGTTACAAGTAAACGAATGTTCTGCAGTGATATTGAGAGGTGCGCCGCCCTGCAGCTTCCCGACGATGTGAACACGTGCACAATACGTGCGCCCTCTGTAAAAGCCACGCTGGGCTGACGGGTGTGCAAAGGAGACACATGGCCGTTGTCAGATATTTCAGTTCTGCAGTCTTTACTGGAGTCAACTGCACAACGCAACGAGATATGATCAAGGTAACCGGCACCACTACCTGCCGGGCAATGCATTGAATTGTATTGTGTTTACCTCATGTGAGCCTTAAGCTCAGCTAGTTAGCGTCTTGTATATTGTGGGGTTACGAGTAACTGCGCATACTCCAGAGATGTAGTCTCACTAACTGTTGCCTCATGCTGTCACATCGTGGATTGCGCCTATACCGTCGTAAATTAATTGGGAGTGGTATTGAAATTGGCATTCCGTTTTGCTGTCTGTCACTGTCGTGGTTGGTCATACCAGAACGTGCCTCGCGGTCAAGGTACAGGACCGAACGTGTCACATATGTAGGACGATCATGGCGTGATCACCCACCCACAAACGGGAAAACGTTGCAATTATTGATGCCATACCCAGCACTTCAATAATCTCTGCGACCTTTGAATACTTGTTTTCAACAGAACAGTAGTGCTGCTAGCAGACATTAGACCTACGCGCCCAGATATCGAAGGCTATAGTCTCAGCTACGTGACAGGGAAATTAGAGAGACTGACCAGTTCTAATTCAAAACGCGATGCATCGGCACTCTCATTTAGTTTTCTTTTCATATCAAACTACTTGTGATTATAAGTTCAAAACCTTACACGTATAATGTCAACAAAATAATTTATTCGAAAGGGGGATCAAATTTTGTCGCATTCACCCACTCGAAAATCTCTGCCCTCTATCTTGAATGTACGGTTTCATGAAGCATTTGCGTATTTACAGACATTAGGCGTACGCGTACAGTGATTAAGTACTATAATCCAGGCCACGTTATGCCGACATTAAGGTGACTGGTTGGCTATAAGTGTGAGACGTGAGACAATTCATTCCTGTGCCACAAATGTTTTTTTTACTCCATTTACATACGCTAGTATAATTGCACACTCGTAATTTATTATCGATAACGTTTATTTCTTGAGTATGCTTCTCAGCCTTGTTTCACAACCTTGAAAACAATAAAGTAATGCAACTATCATTTCCCTAACCTTTACCTCACTAACCTTTTAAAATACGACTTGTATTTGTGTGTTATGGTAAGTGAAACGCAAATATGATCAGGAATATAGTTAAAGTAGTTGATTATTGCAGAAATGTTTAGCTTTGTGAGTCCGGGTAACATTCAGAATATGAACTACCTAAATTCGGAACAGGTTTCGTATATTATCATCACTCGCAAGCCTGTCAATTGTGATATGTCTGATTGTCTTGCCCAGCAGCAGCTTCATGCAGCGTATAAAACCATATCGTGATTGGTTGGAAACAGTCTGATTTATTTTAATGAATTTCATTGTTTTTCATGAGCTAAGTACGCTTCCGTTTTTCCGATGTAATAGGCGACGGATTTTACTCAAATGGACAAACATTGCACGTCAGTTCGGCTCATTTTTATACATCTTTTCCGTATTGCTATATTGATATTTGCAAGTTGCTGTAGATACCTAAACATTGAGCTATTACTATTTTAAGTCTATAAAAAATGTAAATTGATAAATTTTGGAGCGCGTTAAAGACGTTGAACCTCTTACGTAAGTGACCGAGCAATATTAAAAATGCCTTTGGTAAAATTACATTACAAAGTTGTACAACTGTTTGGTTCGATCATGAGAGAAGTAATAAAGAGATGGCAGCAGAAATAAGGAAAGAAGCCATAACAACATTGCAGCATCAGCAACATTTAGACACTAGCTTGACAACCCGTGTCAATTTAAAATGCGAATTTCATTTGAAGTAATTAGATAAAACACTGCGCTTGGTGTTATCGAGAGCTTTATAATAATTCTAAAATAAAACTCCATAATTGAGTCGATTATACAGAACGTTTCTGATTTGTTTTGCCAAACATTGAACTTTGTACACTGGGTATGCTTAGGCAGAGTGCGCCAAATGACTGTAGAACAATCTACTAATTGTCCCGTTCATATTCCGTTCATTTTAATAGTGACTAGATTAGTGCTGCTACCTACCCGAAAAAAAACTGGTCAAATGCAATACTTCTTCCTGCCTGCCCAATTACAATAAAGCTTTAAAATCCTTAAAACGCTGTAAACAATAGTTAGGGCGATTCTTTATTAGAAAGGCTGCTAGTACCGCTGGTAAGCCACGCTGATTTAACCGTTAGCAAGAACGCTGAGCACAAGAGTACAATGAGGCTTAATGATAATCATATTTGTCTTTATCGCTCATATTAATATCAATATATACAAGTTGTGGCAATATATATATATACGCGTATATATATGAATATATATATAAATATATATGTATACAATATATATGTATATTCGGCGGTGACCTGTCGTGTGCGCGGGCTTGTGTGCGTGCCGGCGCTGCTGTCGCTGCCGTGCGTGTGTGCGTGCGGTGCGCCGGTGTGTGTGCCGAGACTGGTGTGGAGGTCTGTGTCGGCGCGCCGCCGTGGTGTGACTGCGGCTTGTGCGTGCGTTCCTGTGCGTGCGTGCCGTTCATGCTGACTGGTGTGAGCTCCTGTGCGTGCGCGTGTGGCGCCGTGCTGCGTCGGTGACCGCTCGTGCCTGTAGTCGCGTGCTGTGTGTGTGTTGTGTGGCGCTGCGCGCGTACGCGTGTGCCATGCCGCCGCGTTGTGTCGTGTGTCTTGCTGGGAATGCTCGTTTTACTATGTTCAGAATTCTTACGTCGTTATTATCCTCCTGGTTGAGGGCATTGTTGCTCGCTGCCTTCGACTACCTCGCCTAAACATCTGTAGACGCGATCCGTAAACAATCGGCATGCTGGTGTGCTGCCGATATGACCCGGCCGTTCTCACCTAACGGGAATTGTCAGTTAGATAGGGTATCTGTAGAGCTGATTTCCAATCGAGTCGCGGCTCCTGACGCACCCTCCCGACTCAGACGCCCACAGGATGTGTCTAACGTCCTGGGGACAGTCTGCAGGTAAAAGTCAGATTCATCAGTTAGTAGTGCTGCTGCAGGCGATTGTGTCTATGTTTTGTTTGTTATTGCCTTTGCTATGCTTACGTATATAGTACTATATATATATATATATATATTATATTCTGATTATGCTTATGATTACTCGTATAATTTATTTGTATATATGTACTTGTTGCAAAAATTTTAAATCAACACAGGTTTTATGTTTAACCCCACACACGCGCCCACTCATTTCACAATATCAGGAACGTTATTATATCGTCATGCAAAAACAGCGCTAGGGATGATAATTTCGATGATCGGTAAAGGTGTGGTTTCTGCTGAGAAAAAAAATTGATGAGACGTACCTCCCTTCTACGATAAAGCATTAACTAACAGTGATCCATTTCTCGTGCTCAGAATTTGTCACGCTATGATTTGTAGAGCAAAATATTTCATGTAACTAGTAGTATTGACGACTTTAGATAATATCAAGAACTTCGCCGTTATTCTTCGTCAGGCCTCTTACGCTTACCGCGCCACTCATCTCCCGCTCTAGTCCTTCCTTCTCTGCTAGTTCTCGGAGCACGTACGGCCATTCTTCGTCCAAATTATCCAGGCTCCTCTGCGGGTCCGTATCGCCATCTCCGTCCGTAATCAATACATAGTCAACTGCGTACTGACAAAGCAAATGAATTTTTTTATTAGAGAATTTATTAGTGTCAATAATGGTTATTATGATACCGCGCGCTCTCACCATTTTATCGTAATAATAAAACCGTGTGCGAAAGACCCGCATTGTATTTTTTTTATTAATTAGCCTTGTTCTTAGGGCTAGCAACCCGCTGGAGTAGGGGGAGTTAACTTTTTTGTTTCCTGAGCAATGTCTCGTAGACGTGTTCTCAATGGTTATAGTAATACAACTGTTTTGCTAGTTTGTGATAACATTATATTTAGCAGTAAGTGATCATGATGTGACGTTATACCTAACTTCCGACGTGCTGGAAATAACGATGGAGAAGAAATGTGATAAATTGCAGTGCAAAATTGCATGAAAATAGTTAGCTAAGCCCGATTGACTTTTTCTGGCAGAGGAGGAGCGATGGGGTAAAATGACCGCCCCAAAAATTGCTGTATTCTATCAATGTCGTCACAAATCTTTGTCATTACCATTACAATCGTGGCTGTCACAAAAATAGTCGATACCTTGGCCGCCATCTTTGATGTTTGTTTTCGTCGTTACCTTACGATAATCGTTACGTCACGTCACGTCACGTCCGTTACGTCACGTCGTTATGGTGTTAACGTCATTACCGTTATCGAACATCGTGCTCACGTACCGACCGACCGTCCTTCACTTGGTTGTAGTTTTCGTTGTAAACGCGCTTTCCTTTTTTCATATGATTAGGTTGCTCCTTGGTGCCGTGAATAACCAACGTATAGTCTCCCAGAAAACCTTTATTGTCGCCGCTGCCGTTCTGCCGAAAGTCAACAACAAACGTCTATATGATTTATAATATTAACTAGCCATACACGCTCAAACTATGTGTGGTCATTATTACTTCATATGCGTAATCGAATCAAATTTGTGATTTTGTGAGTTTGTGATTGTAATACAAACGTATACAATATACGCTTGTATTGCAATAACAAGATCACAAATACACACACTTCTCTCTCTCTCTCTCTCGATATATATATACACATATATATATATATATATATATATATATATATATATATATATAT